ACCCACGTTTTGGCGGAACGTGGGTGAGCTTCCATACACTTTATGTCGTGAATCAGAAAACGTCTGTACGTGGGTCACTGAGTATCACGTGGTACACACACGTAAAGTACCCACGGATTACGTGGGACTAAACCTCCCTAATAACATGTTACACGACTTTGGGGGAGTATGAATGATATCCAGTCAAACCTCTTTAGGACGAACATCAAGGGACCGATGGCATTTGCTCTGTGAGTTTGTCTTAACCCTATTTTATAACGAGTGAATACAATTATTTCTCCAATAGAGACACGAATAGATTTCTTCTACAGCGAAAGATTCTAAGCCAGACCAAACCATTGACTCGTCTTTTATGAAACAAATGAGTCACTGAACCTTTCTTTAGCAACATGACGGCAACTGAAACAACAACAGAGAAAATACGATACATGTACAGCACATTCTTGCAGGTACAACAAACAGATTGCAGATCGTAATTCTTGCTCTACCGGCACGCAACTTTATTTGGGGCAGTGCAATCTCGGCGCTAGTCACAAATCAAACAGCCCAGGCTCGAGTAAACAAATCCAATGGTCCGAGATTTTCACGAGACGAGACTGCACCCATTGGCTTGTTTCGTATGAAGCAAACAAGTCACTGAATGCATGAACCTCTCCATAATGGAGATTTTCCCTGATATGCGAATTTATTTTGCATACTAGTACTCGGCCAATGCGTCCTTGAACCTTCCCCTACAGATTGGGAACTGCCAACGATGCTATGCCACTGCAAAATTCAGATTCTACCCTATGATCGGGGCACGGAATGCCGGAAGCAATCATGACCAGTGCCTTACTTGTAACGTACCAATGTACAATGAACATGAGTATTTCGACAACACATCTAAGCCTCAGCAGCAACATACAATGTAAGCCTTACCGTCAAGAAGGTGAACTCGCGTTCTTCGCACACTGTTGGCAAGGGCAAAGAGATACGAATGGATCTAAATCCGAATAAAATCAGCACACATTTCCGTAAATGAAAGGGTGAGCATAAGCAAATGAATCGAAGGAAACTGGTCAACTCAGAGATCACCTGTCATTGAGTATTCCGTAAAAGGAGGCCTCGACAGCAGAAAAGCTTTATTTAGAAAAGATATCCTGTCAGCTTTTCCATTATTTATTGTATTCCACCTAAAATCAGCACACTTTTCGTAAATGAAAGAGTCAACACAAGCAAATGAATCAAAGGGAACTGGTCAACTCACCTGTCATTGAGTAATATTCCGTGAAAAGAGGTCTCAGCAGAGCCGAAGCGAAATAAGCCAGGACAAGAAATATCCGAAACAGCTGATGCAGGAAGCAGTTCCAAAGAAGGAAGTTCCTCGCGCATGCACATCCGAAAACGGACTGCACTGCATGCAACACAATGTCTGCCGTGCACGTGCACAGCACGCGGCTACCACCCGTTGGTAGATCTAATACCGAGCACCTTACGTAGAAACTTACGTAGCCTAAGTGAAGTACCGAGCACCTTACGTAGAAACTTACGTAGCATAGCGGTGTCGTTTTTTCTGCCATGTGAACACAATAATAGAAAAGCTGACAGGATCGCTTTTCTAAATGAGCGGTCAGCTTAGACAGGTTTCACTGTATATTGGGCCCCTTGCGCAGGTCTTCTCGTTTTCATTCTGAAAGAAGTCCTGTTAATAGGTATCTTCTCCATCTCCTTATTCTTCTGCCATATTTACTCTTGAAGAAGAGGTTGGTTCGACTTCGGCGATACTTGCGGAATTGTCTGTTGCTCCCTACATGGGAGCTTGCGCTATTCCTGCTGACTTGAATTCTCACTTGACTAACTCACGACTGCCATCCAGAGCACACGAGAAGTCCATCGAACCTTCCACTCGGCAAACCTGCAAGAAAGCACCGCGCGCTCCCTGCTCAATACGCAGCCAGTGTTTCCCCACATTTACTCTTGCAACCTCAAAGAACGGGAGCCGGAGGTACACGTGTGGTGTACTGTGACTACATGTAAAATGTAGTTGCATGACTCCATCATGCATACAAGCATTCTGACATCATTCCTCTCATCATGATCCTCTAGCATTCCATTCCTCCCTCCGAGACCCTCCCGCCGAGTCCCTGGTACAAACAAGAGTTATCTTGGTTATGGACTCCTGGTGGTGACAGTCAATTTTTTCTTCAGACTTTTCCCGTTTGTCTCTTTCCCTCAAAACCAAGTTAATATCTTGGTTATGGACTCTTGATATTTTGGCCTAGGCTAGACGATGAAGTGGCTGAAAAGACCTCATTGCCAGTGACAATGACACAGGGACACAATCGAAACAGTCATAGCCACACGCATTTTTTTAAAGATTCAATAATGGGCATAGTTTGTCTTTCATTATTATGAAAGCCAACTGTAAGCATGTCACAGGTCCAGGACAGACACTGTCAGTCATGTAGTCCACAGACAATAAAGTCTTCACCGCCTGCTTGACACACAAAATCAGATTCAGTGAAGGGCAACCAATAGTCGTACTGTACTATAATAATAATGATGTATTCATCTACGACGGCTTTGGCTGGCAGAATAAATGACGTCCTCAAAGTGTGAGGACGTCAGTAATTTTGTTCTGTGGATCAGTGATATTATCAGCTACTAGTATACTGTACCTCATTCATTACTCTGATTCAAATGATAGTGCACATGACGTACATGTACAATGTATATAACTGTATGGTCTGCACCACTAGCCCCCCCCCCCCATCATCATAAAATTTTAATGTACAATCATGTACATCTACATTCTGAATCTTGATTTAGGACTGTCGACTATGTGGCTTCAGTCATGCAGCTAGCCTGGGACGCCCTCGGAGTCTGAGAAAACTAAGTAACATACATCGTCACATGTACATGTACATGTACATGTGAGCGGACAAGGTAGAAATGGAACGTTAACTGCAGTCTGGCAAAAACTGTTTTTTTGCATGAAGGTCACCTACAACTATCTGTTTTTCAGATCCCAAAGTTTCAGGCTGATACTATGGTGGGAAGTGCCTTACATTCACCATTTTCTAGATGCCGGTCAGTATTTTAACGTCTGTTTCGGGATGATTTAAACAGTCCACCCTTCAGTACAACCAAAACACTGAAAAAAAACCCATTATCTTGGCCTGTATTTCTCCACAAGTGTATATCAGTGTGAAAAATGAGCTGATCACACACATGGACTCGTTTGAGGTGGAACCAAGCAACAAAACCACATAACTAGAAACAGCCGGAGCCGAAAAATCAGCTCCAGAGTAACTCGTGAGGCAAGGCAAAATAATAGGACTGTTGAAGCTGGTACTCAATCCACACATCAAATACCACTACACACATGTCAAAAATAGAAGAATTTGGCGGACAAATGGTTATTCCAGTGCGTTCTTGCTTCAGCCATGTGTGCACGCTCTCATCGTATACTGTTGGCGACCTCGGACTCTGCTCTGATGCATTGAGGCTCCCGACGACTGAGCGGCGCACCTTGGTAATATAGTTTGTAACATTGTGGCAGGAGACAGACAGCTCTTGAACACACAGCATCGAAATAATATTCCGGAGACGCACCACCAATACGGTGCCCATTGGCGAAGCAGGACGAGTCCACAGACTTGAGAAACTGTACTTAACGTAACGTTACACATCAGTCCGCAATCCGAGGCCCAATTTGACTTCTTTCCACTCAGCTCATGTTCACCAGCCTTGACCATTCTGTGTATCTCAATTCTTAAAACACTCATTTCCAGACAGTGCACGATGCAGGTCTGCCACTTGCATCCAATGCATTGGGCAACAGCTAGCTAGTCGTTCTGGGCTATTAAGTCCCTGCATACGTTCCCCTGTGGTGCACGACGCTATTGTTTCTTCAGCTCCTGCGCTGTGTGCTTCAGAGCTCTGAAGTCGGTTCGGCGTATACATTCAGTACAACTCAGCATCCACAGGAACGTTCCCCTTCATTGGTGTTATCATCATCACTGCTGTCACCACGTTCGCCTGCATCCGAAAGATCCATCTCATTTGTTCCCTATGTATTTTTGTACCGCGCTGAAGCCAGCAGCAAACAAAACGCTGATCGGCACGTCGTTTTCGGCGTAGTGGAAGACGCTCTCGACTACTACCTGACTCAGAAACGCTCTCAGAATCAGAGAAGCTCTCAGCACCTGACAGTAGGCTATCAGCTGATCGCCGTCACCTCCAAATTCACCCGTCAATACGCCACCCGTCGCACAACTAGCTGCCATATCTTCCTTCAGCCATAACGGATTCACTTCAAATTTTCAGTGCTGGACCTTGAAGCCCTGTGCTGAGCGAGGCACAAGCGCGTGATGCAAATAGAGCCCTCTAACCCAGGTAAAAAATATGCCACAGTTTGCCAAACTTCAAACGCCTGTATCTCAAAATGATGTCATGCAGCTAACGTTCCATTTCTACCTTGTCCGCTCACACATGTAGATATCATGGATATGGATGGTACCCTGGCCTGATATTGCAGCCAATTTCACTGCTTTTCGAGCAGAATCTGCCACCTTTTCGAGCATAATCCGCCGGTGCCTACGGCAGGGAGTAGTATTAGTAAAATACTCTCTGTGATGGCCCTGATGGGTGTGACAATGCGTCATATCGACATGCCGAGATCCTGCAGCGCGTGACCGATCAATATCGCTCGCTAGCCGTCACGCTCCGCCAATCACTGCACAGCCTGCGCGTGTGATGAGCTAATGTCAGATGCCTGCACATGCATGTCGAACGCGCACTCGCCTTTCACTGACACTGTTTCAGCATTGGCCATTGGCATTGTTGACATGTGCCATGCCATGTGCGCACAGTACAGCGCCTCGAATGCTCCCGAACTACCTGGTGCCGGAGCGGCGGCGGCACCATTCTGCACTGGCACTGCGCAACATCTTGATCACACTAGCGCGCAGAGCTGTCCATACGTTCTACTTCTAGCTCAACCCGCGGACAAGCACAAAAACTCTTGCCGCCATGATAGCTCGCTCAGTTGTGATTCCGTGTCTTTCTTTGCAATAGCGCATTTCTTCCCTCCTGTTGATTTCCTTGTGAGGATTTTCTTTCTAGCCCAGCGAAAATAGTTAGTGAGGAGCTAGGTCTGTTGCATCGCTCAACGCCCCAGCCAAGATGGGAGTCCAAAATTGTGGAACGGTACTGAAGTACCTGATGGTGTTTTTCAACTTCTTGTTCTTCATCCTGGGCATTGTGGTGCTCGGCTTCGGCATCTACGCGCGAATCAAGCAGAGCGACTACAATTCGGCGCTGGTCATCATTGACGCTGGCACGTCGCAGTGGGAGAGCTTCGGCTCGCTGTGCATCGCCGTCGGCGTGTTCATCGCCCTGCTGGGCGGATCCGGCTGCATCGGCGCTGGCAAAGAGCACCGCGGCTGCCTGATTTTCTTCACCATCTTGGTTGCTCTGATCTTCATTCTGGAAGTGGCCGCCGGCGGTCTTGGCTACCACTATCGTGGAAAGCTCGACGATAAGATCAACATGAACCTAAACAAGACACTGAATGAGTACGTAGATGACCAGAAGATGCTCGTGAACGGCAGCAAGATCATCACCAGCTGGGACAATGTCCAGCACACGTTCAAGTGCTGCGCTATCCACGGGCCTACGGATTACGGAAATCGTGGCGGCACGACCCCGGCATCGTGCTACGCGGACAAGGACACGAGCAAGACCTTGTACCAGCAGGGTTGCAAAGAGAAAGTCTTCGATGCGTTCACCGACCACTGGAAGGAATGGGCCGGTGCGGTTGTGGGTATAGCCGTCGTTCAGCTCCTGGCCATCGTCTTCGCCATCCTGCTCATCCGAGAGATCGGCAAGGGCGACAGCTACACCGTCGTATAACGAGCCATCTCCGCTCGCTAGGAACGCCTTACGGCCAGGTCAGGGCTCGCTAAGCACGTTGCGGCTGCAGCTTTAGCTGATGAAGGGGCTTGATTTTGAACTTCTAGGAAAGGTTTGGCGTTTGGTGTCTGTGTGCCGTCATGAGTTGCTTGTATCGTGTACATTTTTGCTGCGTGTGGGCAATTATACACGCAAGACTCTTGTGTATCCATTGATACAGATTGCCTGGTGTTTTGCTGGCAGTGTGTTGTGTTGGCTGAGTGCATATCCAGTAGGTCAGCTTCCTTCCACACAATAGTACAGTCTGAGCAAGTCAATCAGTAGTTACACGTTAGTATGATGTACAGTGTGATTTGAAAGGCTGGCTAACAGTTTCCTGTTGAATGCTAGATCTATCCTGGCCTGTATCGTTTATACTTCAGTTATAGCGCTGTCTTTTGACTCTCTTTTTTTTTGTTAGCGTAGGAGAGTAAGCCATGGCATGTACAAAGTTTGATAATTTTACGCCATTGCTGTAGTCTCTGTCGCATTGCATCGTGTTCTTTATTCAAGCCGCTCCCCTGGGCGTTAGTTGCTAGTAGTGGCCAGAGGAGCTCGCGGGTTGTTCTCTGCCGCTCAAACACGACTGGTTTCTTTCTCGCACGGATTTGCTATTCCATAATGCTTTTGTGTGGTGTATGTGTGTGCATGTTTGCTTGCTTGAATTTCCAGAAAAATTTAACCTGTATTTTATGGTGCCGGCTGCCAACACATAATTGAACTTATATCTTCATTTCTATTTACCTTTGTGCATTTTTTGCCAACGATTATCATTATCCTCGTTTCCCATTTTCTCGTGTTTCCGTCCACAACGTAGTTTGTGAATAAGGAAACTACTAAAACGGACGATGTGCATGGGAGTCTGTTAGTGGGTGATGGCTAGTTTCAGATCGTGTCATGTGTAGCCGAGACGTTATAATATCAAACTGACGAGTCACAGAAAAACCACGATTCTTGATTGTCGTTCATGCCATATAGCAATCTTCAGACAACTGATTACAGTGATGCACAGCTAGTATGGTATTTATACAGCAGCATAGGAAGGAATCTGTGAAGGTTTGAGGTCTGGTGGGTGCAAAATGTCCTGCATGGAAAATGTGCGAAACTCACATGGTCCGTGAGTGAGAAAAGAAACATGATATGGCAGGAAGGCAAGCAAGGCTGTGTGAAAGGATGATAATGATAATGTGGCTTGCCTGCAATCACAATCATGCAGGTGCAAGATGCCACACACTTTGGTAAGCGCTTAAAATAAGTTGGAGGAGGGGAGATACTTGCTCTTCAATGCACCAACAAAACAAGTGCAAGATGGAAATTTCCACGCGCTGTGATGGCTATAGGTGCTTAGAATAGGCGAGGAACATGAAAAGAAAAGAAATGACCACGATGACGTGACGTGAAGCGAGGCTATATGCAAGATACCACACCCATAGAAGGGCTGCAGACGGGTGCAAATGGCTGTCACGCGTCATGTGGCTGCAAGTCCTATGTATCACAGAGAAATATCACATCAGCATATCCGATCGCAGCACCTCCCTCAACAAGCGAACGGAGCTCGTATCAAAGACTTAGTGTGCAGGCACTCTGCCAAGTTCCTGCTTGATGGGTACGGAGTCATGTGACTTGCAGCCACATGACGCGCGACAGCCATTTGCACCCGTCTTTGACGGACCAATACAATATGTCTGTCGCTGTCACCAACATCCTCGTGAGCCGGATACTGGACCAAGACACCAACATGGACGAAGTGCCCACCACCATCCATGCTGCCAAGCTAACTGCAGCAGCAGCAACCAGGAGAGCAGCTCGAGACCGAGCCAGTCAGCTCCTGGCCACTTGTGATGCGCCCACCAAGCGAACCCTGGGGATGGCGGCCGAGAAAGGAGCGTCCAACTGGCTCACTTGCCGGCCCCTGAAGCAGTTCGGGTTTGTCCTCCACAAAGACGAGACGCACTCTGTCTGGGGTTCGGCTGGATCCCTCCCCGCCTGCCATCCACTTGTGTGTGTAGAAAGGCGTTTAACAACAGCCATGCTCTACCGTGCCCAACTGGTGGATACGCGGCTCTCCGCCATAACACGATCCGCGACCTGACAGCCGACCTACTGCGTGAAGTGGCAACGGATGTGAAGATAGAACCTCCTCTGCAGCCCTTGGAGGGGTGAAAGCAGGGAGTCGTAAAATGGGTGAAAGGCTTCGGTATCGCTCTGCCATCTTGGAAGATGGCGCTCGTCTTGATGTGGCGGCATCCGGTGTCTGGGGAAGTCGTTTTGAGCGCACGTTCTGTGATGTTCGGGTGTTTAACCCTCATGCGCGCTCGAACACTTCCTCAACTCCCGCGTCCACCTATGCCAAGCACGAACAGCAGAAGAGAAAGGCCTACGAAGAACGCGTCAGGGAGGTGGAGCATGCTTCCTTTCTCCCACTGGTATTCAGTGCATCTGGTAGGTGCGGCAAGGTAGCCCACGCTTTCCTGAAGCGTCTTGGCCATATGGTCTCCGAGAAGCGGCATGAACCCTACTCCTCCGTCATGTCCTGGATCCGCTCCCTTGTCTCCTTTGCTATGGTTAGATCATGCAACATGAGCCTCCGTGGTCACCGTGCTTCTCCCTACCGCAGTCGTGTGGATGCTGCCAGTCCTGTTGTGCTGGCAGTCAACGACTGTCAGTTGCGTGACCAGGTGGCTGAGACTCTTGCGGAGTAGCCGTGTCTAGCATTTATATTCCACACTTTTATTATCGGATGATCTTGTTTTGTTTGCTATGATTCCGTGATTTTCTGTTGGTTGTTTTTCTGCTGTGCGAATAGATGCAGTGTACGAGGTGATTTGGCTCTTTTCTTCTGGCTCTTTCTCTGCTCCGGATGGTTGTATCGAAACATGGGTGGTGGCAAATGGGAGCCAATTCATCGTAGATCAACATTGACCAGAACATTTGGTGCATATAATTTAATTCTCCCTGCCACGTTGGTATAACTAGTGGTGGGTGCTTTGCCATTTTGTGTAAAATCAAGAGTCCTGGTAAAATGCAGTGCTGCCAAACAATTTTCGCCCAAAATCGGACACCCTTCACCGCCAAGGCTGGCCACATGGTGCGAATTTTTCTCCTTGGCAATTTTCACAGAGAATTCAAAATATCGCCTAAAACACCATGAAAATTCGCTTCGTTGCCATGGTAACCCCAGAGTTGTCATGAATTTTGTAATGATGAGTGTGGTCGCACACTGACTCTGTACAGACTGTCAGTGTACATGCCATCCAGCCTGATCCAGACATGTTACTTTGCACTTCCACACTGACCACAGCCAAGCGCTAGCCTTTTTAGAAGCAAATGTACAGTGATGTGTGCCTTCAGTTGCGCTGAAAAGTGAAAGTACAGGACTTCTGCACATAGGAAAGTAATGCGGATCTCCAACATTCTGGCTGCTTTTCGGACGTTTCCCTTTTCGGACCGGTTTTCGGAAGAGCCTTCAAAAATCGGACACTGTCCGAAAAATCGGACGGTTTGGCAGCACTGAAAATGTGTAAAATGAGCCCCTGAATGGACGAGGAGGGCAGTGAATTGCTTCCGCAGGGCCTTTGGACGACGTCAGGCCGTCTTGCCATCACTAGAGACAGTAATGAAGAACAGTAGGTCACGGAATGCACTCTGTGAGAACGAAAACATCGCTGCGATGCTATTTTTTTAATTTATTTATTTTACTACAAAGCACTGGCCAGCAACATAAAAGGGGAGGTAGACAAAAGTGGACAAGCGAACATTGACAACACAGAGGAGCGTGGCATGCGTGCCGATGAGGTAGGTCAACCTCCCCCGACCTAGTGGTCTCCGGTTCAACAGTTGGTCTGCGCATCAGGAAGGGGAAATGGACAGAGAAAGGGAGCTGAATGAGCACGAGGAGCTTCCCAGGAGAGGAAGAGTGAGTGAGTGAGAGAGAGAGAGAGAGAGAGAGAGAGAGAGAGAGAGAGAGAGAGAGAGAGAGAGAGAGAGAGAGAGAGAGAGAGAGAGAGAGAGAGAGAGAGAGAGAGAGAGAGAGAGAGAGAGAGAGAGAGAGAGAGAGAGAGAGAGAGAGAGAGAGAGAGAGAGAGAGAGAGAGAGAGAGAGAGAGAGAGAGAGAGAGAGAGAGAGAGAGAGAGAGAGAGAGAGAGAGAGAGAGAGAGAGAGAGAGAGAGAGAGAGAGAGAGAGAGAGAGAGAGAGAGAGAGAGAGAGAGAGAGAGAGAGAGAGAGAGAGAGAGAGAGAGAGAGAGAGAGAGAGAGAGAGAGAGAGAAAGAGAGACAGAAAATGATAATAATAGAGACAACCGGTTATTCTCAGTGCTGGTGGACTTCAGTGGCCCATAGCCAATTGGTCTATGCTATGCTATCTATCCAATTCCACCGTATAACACAGCCACCAGTTACAAATACAAAAACACGGCTTTCGCAGCATACAATGCAGTTCACTCCTCTGTTGACAGATTAATTTTCATCCACTAGCAATCCATGAAGTGATATCTATCAACTTCAGAACATTGATGATCGAATATCCCAGTTTGTGATGCCATTTTACAAATTTGTTAAAAAAATGACACACCAATTATTTGAATCCTGAGAATACTGTGAAAGTAGGACATGATTCAAGACACTTTCCAAAGTGGGATCATTCCCATTTTTGGACACAATGGGCATGAAGGATAGCACTTTCACTTGCAACAATTCATTTGGACGTAGCTTGTCTAGAAGTGACTGAAAAAACGTCATTTTACAACCATGTTAAAAAAGCCAAACCACCTCGTACATCAGGTCAACTTTTAAAAAAGGGGCGAAGAAACATTTCTGCACTTGAAGTGTGCAAAGCAGCGTGCATATGCGCATGGAAGTCTGCATGCTGAAGGTAACGTAAACTAGCTTCCATGATTGCGCATGCAAGAGACGTCGCGCAAGCAAGAGACACCATAAACAAGCTCATAGTACACACTGAATAGTTATGGCCATATATTTATGGAAACGCGGCTCGCATGTGGGGTTTATCTATATTTTAGACTTAGACTTAGCCAAAACAAGCATACGTACAAGCGTGCATAGATCCGATATGGAACCTAGTCATAACGGGCACAGATCCATATAGGGCGCAGATCATACAGGACGTGGATCCATAAAAGGCACAGATCCTACTTTGAAGTATATGGGAGTGAGAGAGACATAAACGACTCAAAAGTACTGGTATACGAGTACAAGAAAGATTCGCGAATGGTGGTGCCATTCGCGACATCATGCGTGCAAGTGTGTACTGTGTCTGGGATATCCTCCAGGGTTCATCACGCATCATCAGTGCACCAGCGATGCAAACTGTCCATGTTAGGCACATGTGTAGGAACTCATCGTCATTTTTGAGGTCGTTATACCCGATCTATACAGAAAGGACATGCTAAACGACTTTTAACTCGATTTGTCGTTACTGTATATCCAATCTCCACTGTACATGTACATGTACTTCAAAGAAAGTATGCCTTGAACCCTGTAACCAACAAAGGTGGCAGGTATAACTTTACACCTTCAAGCATCCGAGCCTGTTGTCACAAATACTCTCTCAGACATGCCCATCTCGGAAGCGATGATAGCGAATAGCTGTGTTTAAACATAGCAACTTGTGCTGGGATTACACCATTCAACAGCTTGCAAGACTCATTTTTCCATTGGAAAAAAATTCTTCTCACAAATACACACACAGACACACAAACAAAAATATACGTACTCCTAAGTATTCCACACTGGCGCATGGCGTCGCCGCAGGAATCACTCTGGGTTTGTGAGCCATGACAAAAATAAAAAAAGAAGCTCGCAAAGTATAAATTATGGCAGGTGGGGATGGGTGGTCTGATATAAGCACACGTAGCCGCAACATTACTGAAGTAAAAAAAAAAAGCAGAAGTCCAGGATACAGCGGTGTGTGTGTGTGTGTGTGTGTGTGTGTGTGTGTGTGTGTGTGTGTGTGTGCTCGTGTGCGTGTGTGCTCGTGTGTGTCTGTGGCTACACACACTCAATACTAGTACTGAGCATGCACGCGTACCAGAACAAACTCAATGACGTCCGTAATAGCATAGAAGTGTACTTTTCATTTTTTTCACGTCGTCCATTTATTTATTTATCTAGACAGATAGAGTAACAGCGGAAAAAGACTTGTTTGATTCATTGCTGTGTAATATTTGTATTTATTTATTGTATTGTATTTGTATTGTATTTATTTAAAAGGATTCTCCAAAAGCAAATGGATGCTTATCACGGAAGTCTCCCACATAAATATCGCAAGAAAAATGGGGAAATGGGGAGAGGAGAGTGGAAGATGAAGCATTATCTATTTTTCATTAATTTTGTGTTGTTTTTTAAAAAAACTATTCCCTCTGTTTGTCTGTAAAAAAAAGGTCACCGTGTGTATAATTAAAAAAGGAGAAAAAAAGCATAACAGTATACTGGGCTAGGGTTTGCCGGGTGGTAACCGCCGTTGTGAGTTCCCTTCGGGCCGGAAACGGACACGATAATTAATTAATTTATTTTATACTGGGCTGCTACAGCCAGTGCACTGTACATCTTCACAAGTTTCCAGTCACAGCTGGCCATCTTCGTCTTTGATGAAGTTCACCTGCGGCATCGAGGCGAATTGGTCGTGGCCGACGAAGGCACTGCCCAGTGTTACATGGACGTCTGCTTCGGGGCTGTGTGCTAGTCCTGGGCTGTGTGTTAGTCCCGGACTATGTGTGCTGATCACACCGCTGCTGCTGCTACTGCCACGCAACTCTAGTGCATTCTGGCGGCCAGCAGGATCAACGTACCGATGGTTGTTCTCCTGGTCAGGTCGCGGACGCACCGATGAGAAAGCATGCTGCTGCTGCTGTTGCTGTTGAGAAACGAGAATGTCGGTGTGTGGTCGCTGCCGCTGCAGCAGCTGCTGTGGCTGTGTGAGAGGAAAGGCAGGCTGTGGCCTCAGTCTTGCCTGCTGCTGCTCCCGTCGCCGTACCTGTAGTTCGTGCTGGCGCAGAGGAGCGAAGTCGCTGGGCGCAGGGCACGGCGCGACGGGCTCTGACACTAGAACGACAACGCCACTGCTGCTGGTGCTGGCAGTGCTGCTGGTGTTGGTGGTGATACTGGTGGTCATACTGGTGCTGTTGGCGCTGGTGGTGGCATGCGTGCGCAGATGGTCCGATAGATGCAGCACAGAGCTGCACACCAGGTGGCAGAACGCGCACGTCAGTGCCTTGCTGCTCTGCGACACAGCACCACCGCCAGCAGCCCTTTCCAAGCTATCCCATTGATGCGAGCTGGCTTGCTGCGTAGGCGCTATGGCTCCAGCTAGCTCCGGCCGGGGATGTTGCATTTCCATGTGCATTTGTAGGAGTGTTGGCGTCAGAAAAGCTTCGCCGCAATCAACACACTCCCATGCTTCTTGTCCGACGTGTGCGGGTGCGTTCGCGATCGCATTACCAATAGCGGCAACCATGGGTGCTGCTGCGGTGGCACTGCCTCGGTGGTTCTGCGAATCCTTACCGGCATGAACTATCTTGTGACGAGCCAGATTGCTGCGTCCGGTGAACGCCTTGCCGCACACTTTGCACTCAAACGGCTTATCTCCGGTGTGAAGACGCCGGTGAGCCACCATATTGTGACTGTCGCTGAACCGACGATCGCAGAAGTCGCACTTGAACGGCTTCTCGCCGCTGTGCGTGCGCATGTGACGCAGCATGTTGATGCGGTCGTTGAACTGGCGGTCGCACAGCTCGCACTTGATCGAGAAGTTGGGGTCGTGGATGCGCAGGTGTCTCCGCATGTTGGCAGGGTCCGAGAACGTTTTGCCGCACGTTGGGCAGACGTGCGGTCGTATATTGCTGTGAGTGCGGCGATGCCGGGAGCGATTGGCTCGGCTGTTGAACGCCTTATCACACTGATCACACTTATACGGCCGATCGCCGGAGTGCGTCTCCATGTGTTTCTCATACGAGGCGACGCTGAAGAACAGACGATGACATGGCTCGCAGTTTAACAGCGATCCCGCTGCTTGGGAACCAGCTGCTGCTGCTCCTGCTGCTGCTGGTAGTGGTGACTCTAGGTGCCATTCGTTCGACTTGGCCTCAGCAGCTGTTGTTGGCACCAGCACGGTGGTACAAGCTGACACAGAGCTGTGCTCAGCCAGCAAAACGGAGCTGGCGTGACATGCTGGTGGTGCTGGAGAAAGCCGGTGCAAATGCATGCCACTGGCCTGCGGCATCACAGTGCACATCTGCTGCTGCTGCTCATTCTGCTCGTCGCTCTCGATGATGATCAGGGCAGGATGATCGGGGCTTGCGCCTGTGCAAGCTTGCGCATCAGCAGACATACCTGTCGGGTCTTTAGTTGCCATGGGAGCTGAACTGGGATTGGGCGATGCTAATGTCGCGGCAATATTACGATCATTGTCTTCCACACTGGGCTGCACAGCACTAGAACAGGGTTGACGGCCGGTCAACGTATCCGGAGTTGACTCATCCAGCACCAGCCGTACACACTCTGCACCAGACGTGGACGTGGCACCGCAAGCGGAGAAGGCAGATAGCGTTGGTGTGGACGACGGTGCAGCGGAGAACAGCACTTCCGACGGCTGCTGTTGGCTCTCACATGCTGGGCTTTGAGCTTGTCCGATGTACGTTAGTGGGGGCAATGCTACTTCAGCGACTGCTTCCGCTGATGATGACAACGACGGTGGTTGTGGTCGTGCACTATCCCTTGCAACAAATGTAGCTAACAGTGGAGATGTAGCTAACAGTGGAGATGTAGCTAACAGTGGAGATGTACCTAAGAGTGGGGCTGTAGCTAAGAGTGGAGATGTCGCTGGCATCGGCGGTGCTGCTATCGTTGTCACCGTCACTGCTGACATGGTCACTGTCATGTCAATAGTGGAAAACATGCACATACACACACACGCACACACGCACACACACACAAACACACACACACACACACACAAACACACACACATGTACACACACGCACACATATGCACGCACACACAAAATAGATCATTGACGCTGAACAACGGCATAATATCGATCAGAGATCCTGACTTCTCCATACTTGATCTACACACTCACACTATTAATATTATACACGTACAGCCTAGCCGGACGGGAAAGTGTCCGATTTGAAGACGGGTGTCTGCCTTACATGGGTCTCCGCTAGGCGGGGTTCAACTGCACAAGACCTGGATCAGGAATAGGTTTGTAGTGAACACGGTCTTATGTTGTTCTGTTATCTTGCATGAAGAAGGGCAAAAGACAAAGCAAACTAATGAAACTACAAGGATAAGCGTTGGTACAAAAGAAGGCAGTACAGAGACGGGGATCCCGAGAGTGTCCAGATGCATACGCATAGAGTCCTAGTTTGGTAAGACACGGATGTGTGCAAGGCACGCATAAGGAGCGTAGTGCGTGCAGGGTACAACAAGAATGCATATATAACTTATAAGACATGTGAGTTACATATATAGAACACAGCAGGGGAGCATCATACATGGACAGGGCAGTCCATAAGAGTACATGCATAAATACGGTAGTGCATATACAACACATGGCAGGTATTTGTATTTACAGTCAAACCTCGTTAGTACGAACACTGATAAGGCGAACTTTCCTTTAGTACGAACTACTATAGGGCCAATCCTACGGTTGGCCAGGCATCATATCAAGTCAAAATTATTCGTTTACGACGAACTCTGTACGGCGAACTTTCATGAAGACGAACTAATTTCAAGGGTGATTTGAACAAAATCAGCGTGTAAGTTAGTACGAACGTTCGGTCCCCGTGGGTACGCTGGCTGTAGGTTTTTTTCCGATAGTCGAGGCCTCTTGTACTGGCAAAACAATCACGTTACAAGGCGGATGTAATGCTGTCATGAATTCATTGCACATTTTGCTTACCTGTTGCTGGGTTATGTTACGTTATGAAAAAATGCTTTACATTTGCCACAGCATGCACCTTCACATAAAAATTTAATACATTTTAATTACAATCCATAATGATATGCATATCAATTTTTTGCCAGATCTGGAAAAGAAGAACTCCAGACAAGACAAACAAACTTGTTTCGGTCCCTTGAAGTTCGTCCTAACGAGGTTTGACTGCATGCCCACACAAACACTAAAGCACCTTCATGTACACTGTGTTGATAATGCATTCTTGGATTTCATCCTTGTACAGTACAATCATGAACAGTCAAACCTGTCAAGGCGACCACCCAGATACGGCGACCAACTGGGACCACTACGACCTGGACCAAGGCAAGTGTTGTCAATTAATTCAGTCAAATGATCCTGGATAAGGAGACCACCTGTACACAGCGGCCACATTTTGAAGGTCCCTTGAGCGGTCGGCTTAGACAGGTTTCACTAGACATGCATGGCATTGTACTCAAAGCAGGTGTCAGGTTTGAATGTGAGAACAGCAGTACAGACTACAGTAGCACTAGATCTACACAGTCCGATGGTAGATTTTGTGACTAGAGTTTGACGCTTGCACGACTGCATGCATGCAGCTCGAGTGACAACAGCACTCGACTCTTGACTTCGCAGATCTAGCTCGTTTGCACACATGGAATAGCTGCGCTCTCCAAGTGTGCAGTGAACGCTGTCACAGAAATAAATGTCATAGTCGTCTTGGCGAGCAGTTCTTTGTCTAAATTGTTTTCAAATTTCTGGCGTTTCCCACTAACCTGGTTTTCCACCGCTCAGGCAGCTGATGTCCAGGCTCAGGCACGAACACACATCCGCCGTCCACACGATCACCGTGCACCAATCACAACAGCTACACGTACACGCGCATTTCCTCTGTTTTAGACTGGCAGTCCTGTTAGTGTTGGCTGCTGTCTGCCCATGCAAAGACCGTCGACTTATGGGACTTCTAAAGTTCCGCTCCTCGAAATATATATGGATGAGATACAGCAAGGTGGGCAGCGTTGTTGCGGGAACTTTTCACAACACACTGGAGCAGGACGTTCTCTCAGTCACAACCACAACGACAACGACAGCAGAAGTAGCAACAACAACAACAACAACAACGAAGATAACGACAACAACACCACCCACGTATGCCACTGCACAGGCGCCTACTCGCCTAGCTAGGCATGCATGGCACTTCGCTGATACGCAAAACAAGCATGCATGATGTTTTGGTGACTTTTGCAAGAGTTTTGGAGCACGTGGCGCAACGACGTAATCGTTGACGTAAATCTTTTTTTACGGCAGGTATGTACTATGCATCGATACGCGATATCGCTGTGTTTGAGGAAGTAGGAAAAATTCTCAAAAGCAGAAAATGAGAAACGACCAAATATTCATTTCACAGACTTGACAGAGCAACAAGTGCCAACATCACCAATTCGTAACTTGCTACGCGCTCTTCTATTTCCTTCTAGCTCCGGAGTGAAGTACGTTGCTGGGATCTCTAGAAAAAGAAGATGGACCTTCTGCCGCGATCAGTGGAGGAGTTCCGAAACGCTCAATACTGGGATGGATTCTTCAAGAAACGTGGCAAAGAAGGCACATTCGAGTGGTATGGCGAATACAATGATCTGTGCGGAGTGCTGCACAAATATTGCAAAGCGCCTCATCGCACTCTGGTCGTGGGCTGTGGTAACTCCCGTCTCAGCGAGGATCTGTACGATGTCGGCTACAGGTCACTGGTCAACATTGACATTTCAGACGTGGCTGTGCGGCAGATGGCAGAGCGCAACGCACAGCGGCGACCAGGCATGCAGTTCCTGAAGATGGACATGCGAGAGCTGACGTTCGACGACGGCCATTTTGATTGTGTACTGGATAAGGCCACTCTGGATGCTATCATGGCCGAGGACAATGCAGACATCAGCCGTGACGTCACGGCGATTTTCGACGAGATCACGCGCGTACTGAAAGCCGGCGGTCGTTACATCTGTGTATCGCTAGCACAAGGACACATCCTGAGGAAACTGATCAGCTACTTCCCGGAGAATTGGTTTGTGCGTGTGCACAAGGTCGACAAGCAGTCTGCGTCTAAGCGTGACGCGGCATCCGCCCTTCCCGTCTTTGTGTTTGTATTCACCAAGAAGATAAACACCAGCATGCCACAGGTGCTAGAATTGTGTTTGCACGGAGAGGGGCATAAGCCGGAGCGTGTCAACACTACTGACGAGTTTAGAGATAACATCAAGGACGCTCAGAACTTCGCACTACTATGGCAGCGTCTCAGGAGGTAAGTCTGCCAGTAACGATGAGAGGTTATTCTTGTGAATGCCAGCGCCAGGGATCTGCCATCCGTCTATCTGTCCCGTTATCCATTCTTATTTCTGCCTGGGCATTCATGACTCGTCTTGGGGATCTCTCTGTTTTGTCAGTCGGACACTGTTTATGCATCAAGTCTAGTTATGTCACTTACGTGCATTGCTCAGCACACAAAATACACCCTCCCCCCCCCCCCCCCCCCCACACACTCCCCCCCCCCCCTCTCTCTCCCTCTCTCTCTCTCTCTCTCTCTCTCTCTCTCTCTCTCTCTCTCTCTCTCTCTCTCTCTCTCTCTCTCTCTCTCTCTCTCGCTCTCCCCCCCTCTCTCTCTCTCTCTCTCTCTCTCTCTCTCTCTCTCTCTCTCTCTCTCTCTCTCTCTCTCTCTCTCTCTCTCTCTCTCTCCCTCTCTCTCCCTCTCTCTCCCTCTCTCTCTCACTCTCACTCTCACTCTCTCTCTCTCTCTCTCTCTCTCTCTCTCTCTCTCTTCTCTCTCTCTCTCTCTCTCTCTCTCTCTCTCTCTCTCTCTCTCTCTCTCTCTCTCCCTCTTTCTCTTTCTCTCCTGATAGACTTTGATTTTTGTGTCTTCGGTTCTCCTTCCCTTGCTACCATTCAGCATTCACGTTGGCGAGGAAACTCAGTTTGATCTCTGGGCAAGTTCGGGTTCAGAGGAGACTAAGAAAGAGCCTCGCTTTACCTTACACGTGGTGGACAATGCGCGTGTGCGTACATCCAGCGGCCAGTTTGCAGTGTTCATTGTACCCCAGGGCAGGTAAGAACTGCTACTGCTTGCCGTGATTATAGTTAGCACTACAGTCAGACCTTGTTTATCCGGTCCTCTTTCATCCGGATCCCACGCCATCCAGAAGAAAACCGTTGGTTACCGATTTACAGCATATATCATGAATACAATACAGTATGTGTGTTCGATTATCCGGTTCCCTCGCCTATCCAGATAATTTTGTGGAAAACGGATGTGACTGCATTTTTGAGTTTGTCGGCAAGGCGGATATGAAATGTGAAAATGTTTTTCGGTGAATCTCTGGAGAACAGCCTTCTCTAGCCTCCTATAGTTTTATTTTTACTTTTGGACAAAATTTGAAAACGTTTTTTGAAAGGTCCGTGGAAATTTTTCTTATCTACCTTGCTGATAAACTGAAAGATGCAGTCAATGCTCCTCAATGGAATCTGGTGGAATTCTTTGTTGCCATCTTCAATAGGTCCATCAATTCGTAGTAGTAATATGTTTTTTCCTTTGACCCGATTAGACCACACGTATCGTGGAGTGTGGATGGTGAACTGTTCACGCTGCCGTCTGCAAGCGTCGTGTGGCCTCATCGGGTCAAATGAAAAACCTCTTACTACTACGAAACCTGGTCTGGTGACTGCTGGGGCTGTGTAGCCCCAGACCTGCAAACACTGGGCTGTGTATCCCCAGACCTGCAAACACTGGACTGCGTAGCCCCCAGACCTGCAAACACTGGACTGCGTAGCCCCCAGACCTGCAAACACTGGACTATGTAGCCCCCAGAGTGCCCAGACCTGAAAACACTGGAGAACACTGGGCTGTTTAGTTCCCAAACTCCAAACACTTGGGCTATACACTTTTGCAGGGAGAGAACTTACTCGGGTGGGTGGATTTGAAGTCTATGGATGCAATGACATGTTGTTGTTATTGTTGTTGTTGTTGTTGTTGTTGTTGTTGTTGTTGTTGTTGTTGTTGTTGTTGTTGTTGTTGTTGTTGTTGTTGTTGTTGTTGTTGTTTTTGAATTCTTTATTCTCACGATGGCACCATCGCCAATAAGAGATTGTTGTTGTTGTTGTTGTCGTTGTTGTCGTCGTCGTTGTTGTTGATATCTTACTTGTATTGGGGACCCAACCGACTATAGTCGTCTTACAGCGTGCCCAAGGAGTTCAGTGCATATGATGATAAATTCATTCATAGATGTGCACGAGCGAACAGAGAATGGCAGCATGGTCCATGAATGTGCAAATGAAAATCATCGACTCTTCAGACGAATAGAGCTAGTGGCAGCAGTGTCTGCTCCAGGATTGTAGGACAGCCGGGTACACGTGTACCTGGCGCAACCATTTCAACCGGGTCGGAGCCGGGTACACATGTACCTGGCGCTGTCTCACCAGCCGAGTCACATGCTGGGTTTGGTTCAACCAGTGGTTTATTTTAATTCGGACAATAAACGGGAACTAGTGTCTGTAAATAAAGTGAGAGAACAAGGTACAATGGTATAAGAAGCGGGCAGTGGGGTAAGGGCGGAAAGCAAGTACATCTTATAATATTTCCACATGCTTGTTTTCATTCTCTACAACATTCACAACAGAAAACGATGTACAAGGTACAATCGCATAAGAAGCGGACAGTGGGGTAAGGCGGAGAGCAAGTACATGTTAATATGATAGTTACACATACTGGTTTTCATTCTCTACAACATTCACAAGATGGCAAACTTTGTCATGACACTGATCCTCACTCAACAGTGACCACAAATTATCAATGACTGACCATGTGTTGGAGTGCGTGTCACAAGAGATCCTGAAACACACTTTGGTTTGATATTTGGCTTCCACCCCACAGCTTCATTCATCTCTGCAAAGAACTTGGGCTCCTTCTTCCTCTCTGCCCCCGTCTTGTTCTGTGCGTCTACGTATTCTTTATATCTCTTCATGAGATTTTTCCAGCGGTTTTCACACTGGTCAGCTGAAGGCAACACGGGTTCATCCTTCATTTGTTCTGCAAGCTCGGCGGAGATCTTCTGCCAGACTCTTTTTCTTGAAATTTACGTCGTTAAATTGTTCGTCCCAACTCCACCGGGCCTCTATCAATAGCAAGGTGAGAGCACGGTTCCAATGGAACCCTGTCTTCCGTTCACTTCCGTTGGAGACGTTGCTGCTGGACGACATGACTGCTTCTGACAACAAGAACAACTGAAAAACAACTCTCGACGACAAGC